TTTTCAGATGTTTCCAAGACGATTTCTTATTTTTCCCGATTTAATGAATGTTTAAGGGATTAAATTGATGAAAACTAGCTACACTTATCCAAAAATTATGAAACTTCATCAGAATATCTTATATTACATATCAATCGTAAATAAAAAGTTTAGTGAATTTTACCTACTGTTTAATAATTGTTCACGAATTAATGCTTATTTTAAATGAATAAAACAAATAAAAATAGTTAAACTGTTTGAAAACCAACTTTGGTATTTTTCTCAGCTTATATATGTTAAATAACAGTGGTAAAAAATGTTTGGATAATTTTATAAACTGATCCTTATTTATTTTGATTTTTGCTATAATAAATATAAAAAAAATCATAAAATCACGTTAATCTGTTTAAAAACCAAGTTTTATTTTTTCCCCAGATTATACATGATGAATATCAGTGTTACAAAAATTTTGGAGAATTTTCTTAATTAGTTGCTATTTTTCATGAATTTGTGTTGATTTGAGCAATTAAATAAAGGAAAAATAGTTAGACAAATCAAAAATTCAAGAACATTTATTTTAATATCTTCGCCTTCAGTTAAAACTCAGTTACAAAGTTTGGAAAATTTTATAACTTATTTGACTTAGTTTGAATATTTAACCATTTGAAACACCTTCCAAAATGTTATAGTTACACTTCAATTGACATTGCCAAAAATAGGATTTTTCACTTAAATTTGTTATTTAACAAATTAATCCATGAGAATCTGAATTTATAGAAAAATGTTTGTAACTTATACAAAACCTAATTTTGACACAATGTTGGCATAATTCTATTGTAGAAATTAAGTATACTAGTGTTAGATTTCCGACTAGAGACTTACTAGTGTGTAACCTTATCGTAGGGAATCGGTAGTAGGACATGAGGGAAGTTAGCGCAAGGCATCACAAATACCTTCATGCATCATTGTGAGTATTCACACCTCTCCCTATTTTCGGTTTTTATGTTTTGGGGTGGAAAAACATGTCCTAAATTGTTAATGTTCGTTGTATTTATTTTGACTCGTATAAACTTGGTTGCTATATTTTGCATGTATGTGTATGTTACTTTAATTCATGAGGACTGTATTGTGGTTAAGTCCCTGGAATCATTCGACACAACTCATTAACTCTTTTGAGCCCATGGTCATTATGGATAGCGCTATTAGGAGGTAGAGAACTCCTCACTCGCACGATTCGCTTGAGTGCATTTTACCATATTTTATACATTATGTTTGCGATACACATAGTAGTCAATAGGGCACGATTCGGTCATTAGGCTTGGGTTGTGAACTCATGAATGGAAACTTGATGCACATACGAATCTTACATCGCATTTTAGCAACGAAACTTGTATACTCATTTGAGCAACGAAATTTGTATACTCATTTTAGTAAAGAAACTTGTATACTCATTTTAGCAATGAAATTTGTATACTCATTTGAGCAACGAAACTTGTATACTCATTTTAGCAACGAAACTTGTATACTCATTTGAGCAACGAAACTTGTATACTCATTTGAGCAACGAAACTTGTATACTCATTTTAGCAGTGAAACTTGTATACTCATTTTAGCAACGAAACTTGTATACTCATTTTAGCAGTGAAACTTGTATACTCATTTTAGCAACGAAACTTGTATACTTATTTTAGCAACGAAACTTGTTTACTCGTTTTAGCAACAAACTATATTTCCCTTGAGAATATGAACTTTGCATCTCATTTTGTCAACGTACTTTATTTCTCATGATGACAACGAACTTTGTTTATGCAAACTTGTTTACTCATTTTAGCAATGTAATTTTATTTATGGAAACTTCTATCAAAACTTTGATTACGATTCATGAAACAAATATTTTTGTAAACCTGTGAACTTACCAACTATTTTTATAGTTGACGCTCGTTTTACATGCTTTTTCAGGAATCTTCTAGTAAGAGACACCTAAGGACACATCACTTGTAGGAGCATTCACATGTGTTGTCTTTTAAATACATTGTAATTTCTTTTAAAAAGTTGTTCAAACTCATTGTAAATTTGTAATGCTTTTTAATACTATGGTTGGTGTTGTCTTTTAACTTTTGCTATGAGACCCTATGTACTGCCACGCCCCGTGTTTTCGCTTTAGCGAGGTGTGACAGCCCATCTGCATGGCGATTCATCTAGAAAACAAGACGGTGAAGTTTCCAAGGGGGATATGCGAGGATCTTTTTGTGAAAGTTGACAAATTTGTGTTTCCTGCAGATTTTATCGTGCTAGACATGGAAGAAGATCATCAAGTACCAATAATTCTTGGAAGACCTTTTCTAAGCACCGCTCGAGCCATAGTGGACGTGAGAGAGAGTCTATACTTACTCTACGGGTAGGAGAAGATGCAATCACCTTTGGAGTAGAACAATCAATGAAGCATTCAAAGTTTAGTAATGATACGGTTTTCTTGGTGGACTCGGTTGGTGAGTTGTTAGAAAAGGAATTGGCAAGTTGGCAAGAAGATAATTCAGGGGGATTCACGTTCTCATCAGAGGAGGATTTTAATGTTGAAAATGACCTAAAAGAGTTGGAGAAGTTGCTTAAAGGAAGTGAATTTGAAGAACTTACAAGGCACTCTGAAGAACAAACACGACATGTTGAGAAGATAAACATGGCGTGTTCATATCAAAACCCGCGACCTGACGAAGCAACTGATGACAACAAGGCGTGTTTGCTTGATGTACACGCCGTGGTAAGTGATCAAAAGACAAAGTTAGAACTCAAAACCCTACCGGAACACTTAGAGTATGTTCTTCTAGAAGAGAATGAGCAAAAGCCAGTTATAACTGCTTCTGATCTTGCTCCAAACGAAAAGGAGAGTCTTGTGCAGGTTCCAAGGAAAAGAAAGAATGTCATTGCTTGGAACAACACCGACATAAAGCACATTAGTCATTCGTATTGCTCGCACAAGATCAACCAAAAAGTGTAAGTAAACGAGTCAACAAATGAAGTGTCAAAAATGGATATTATAGAAGAAAATTTTGAAGAGTTAAATGAATTAGACAAACTAATGGAGGAAGAGTTGAAGACTTGGGAGAAGCCTTACGTAGAGAAAGTAAAGCATACCAAGCCTCGTGCCTCGGTTCCTACAACTTTTGAAGTTTTTACCTTCACGACACCAAATTCTCAAGTGAATGAAGAAAGTGAAACTTTGATTTCAAGTGAGAATGAATAAGTAAATAAAACGGAGATCAAGATTGACAGGATAGAAGTGGAAACCAAGGGACAAGAAAGGGAAGAAGAAAAAACAAAACTTAGGGAATGAAGCGCAAATATGAAGAAAACGCCACTTAAAAGAAAAAGAAAAAGTCAAAAAAGACGTACAAAAGAAAAGTTCAAGCTTACAAGAGAAAATGGAAGGAACAAAATGTGAAGATAAGAACCCCAGTTTTATTTGAAAACCATAAGATTAGGATTACATACATTTATATTGTTATAGAAAACAATATTTTTGAATCCTTTCCTTTTAGTCTTCACAAAGGAAGCACCAAAAATATGATGCCTCAAATAGCTCACACCAAAACAAAATCCAAAACAACCCTATATTTGCAAAAAGCTTCCCCAAAACCCCAACCCTATGTCATTCTGTCCACCCTTAGAGTGTTGTACCTAATCACCACACACAAACATATCCCCTAATCTAATAAATAAGTAGATTTTTGCCACGTGGCATTCTCCAAGTCCCCCCAAATCAAATTTTCCCGCTACTTTTACTAAACTGAATTGTCCAAACTGCCCTTCTTCTTTTTACACGATTCCTTGTTCCAGTTATATCTTCAAATTCAAATTGAAAATTCATATCTTTCCTAAATTTACGGCTGTAATTTGCACAATCAAATCCTTCTATATCTACAAATCCACGAGATAAAAGGATTGATTTGTTGGTCATCTCAATTGTTATTTTTCTTTATAAGTATGCATCGATGGAAACCCTAATGGCTTCATTTTCTTGATTGCAGGTTTGATAACGACAATCTACTCCTCCATGGTGCATGATGAAAGTTCATCTCTTCTCAAACCTAAGTAGAGGCATCGAAGACGAAATAGGTTTCGACATTTATGTCAACTTCCTGAAAATTCAGATTTTGTTTCTCCATCGTAACATCTATAATATTCATTTCTCCATCGTCGTTACTATATTTTCGCCCGAAGGTCGTTTTTTTCCAAGTCGGTATGAATCCATAAACCCTATTTCACCACAATTATCTCCAAATATCTTCTTATTAAGAATTGATGCTCTTCTATGATGGATCATTGGATAAGGAAATTACGTTCATTATGGTTCACTTCAGTAAATTTTATACGATTCTGATTTGAATTAGGGTTTTTTTCCTTATGAATTATGTTGAATGTCGGCATGAATTCAGATATATTACGTTTTCCCCTAATCTTCAATATCAATCATTTTCTTCTTCTCTTTTTCTCCTGCTTCCAACGACCTTAAGGGTGACACCTCCACCCAATGAATCGGGTATACTAGGGTTTTAGTTTAATTGTGACCTTGATCACATTATTCTTCCCAAATCCATTTTTCATCTTACATCTTTGTTGCAGGTAAACATGTATGAAGTTGACACTTATACAAGTTTGCTATTTCTCAATGAGTTTTCAGGTCACTTAAACTCAATTCTGATAGATATAAGTTTGTGACAAGTGGATGTTCCTGTATATGCAGTAGGGACTGATGTAAAACCAGCAGAAATAGCTAGACAAGGTCTTCAAGAGGCTAAAAAAAGAATGCAGATGTGGTTATAATGGATACAGGAGGAAGGATTCAGGTTATAATTATATGACATGTCTTTTTATCATTTCAGATATTAGAGAAGACATGTTTCTTCATAATCTAACACAACACCCTTTACCTTTTTTACCAGATAGCCAAAAATATGAGGATGAATTGAAAGATGTGAAGAGAACATTTGAATCCCATAGAAGTTTTGCTTGTTGTGGATGCGATGATAGGGCAAGAAGTTGCAGGTGTTTGAAATAAACTTATTATTACATATAAACATGTAACAATTTACCATACTAACCTTGGTGATAATTTTCAGCCTTGGTGACAACTTTCAACCTTGAAATTGCAATTACTGGTGCTATTCTAACTAAGCTAGATGGGGATTCAAGAGGTGGATCAGCTCTGAGTGTTAAAGAGGTTGCTCTTTCTTTAACATTGTTTTTCTCAATTGATATTTATTTGATATAAGATTTTGTTTAATTTTTGTGATGTTAGGTTCAGGAAAGCCAATTTAAGCTTGTGGGACCTGGAGAGAGGATAGAGGATCTTGAACCCTTTTATCCAGATCAAATGGCAGGAAGGATCTTGGGCATGGGAGATGTTCTCTTATTTGTGGAGAAAGCATAGAAGTGTGAGGTTAATATTAAATTAGTTTTTTTCTTTGTAAAATGATGGATTGAATAATTAATGGTGTGTGTAGATGAAACAAGAAGTTGCTGAAGATTTGCAGAAGAAGAAGATCATGAGTGCAAAATTTGACTTCAATGACTTCTTGAAGCAAACTCGTGTTGTGCAAGGATGGGTTCCATGTCTCGTGTTTTGGAATGATTCTGGAATGGGGAAAGGTATATTTTCGCCCTATTTTACCCTTACCTTCTAAAAGGCAAGTTTTTACAATATTCATCAATTTTAATGGGAGAGATAAAGAAGAATGGAAAATAGGTAAAGGTTAAGTGTTTAACTCATGAAGCTCATCAAGTAAAAAAGAAACACCGATATATAATGTGCCTATTAAATTACTTATTAAGTCAAAAAAAAAAGTTTTGAATTTTCATAATCATGTTGTGTTTGTTGGACAGGTTACTCCTGCCCAAATTCGAGAAGCAGAAAAGAGCTTACAAATAATGGAAGCCATGATTGAAGTGATGAGCCAGGTTTTGTTTCTTTTCCAATCTGAATAATTTTTTTTAGGTGAAAATTGGAATACAAAAAATAATGTTTTTTTCAGAGAGAAAGGGAGCAGCCTGAACTACTTGCGAATCCCCTGCCAGAAGAAGA